AAAAAAAAAAAAAAAGAAAAGAAAATGTAAGGACGCCAAGAGTAAGTAATTGGAGAGACTGATCAGAAGTTAACATTATACTCAATCTATGCTTTTGCTCCAAACACTATGCTGTAATCTAAAATCAGAAGTGAAGAGCTGCTGGACAACTCAAGATTTCAGAAGTGTTAGTACAAAGATCAAAATCACTGAAAAAGCCTTGGGTTCAATTCCTACTGAAAACAGAAACAACACACACCACCACCAACAATAAAAAGAACCGAGAACCTAAAGACAGCAAAAAGTTGCTTCTGAGCCAGGCATGGTGGCACATGTATATAATCCCAGCAATTTGGGAGGCTGAATCAAGGGGATCACAAATTCAAGCCCAGCCTGGGAACTTAGTGAGACCCTGTCTTAAAATTTTAAAAAGTGGGTCTGGGGAGAGAGCTCAGCAGTTTAAGAGCCTGCCTGCCAAGCACAAGGTCCTGAGTTTATGGTCCAGTACAGGGGAGAGGAGACTGCTTCTGTGGGTTTGAAGTCATTGACTGGCAAAGACAAAATAAGGGATGAGGAGGACCTGAAGAAAAACTGTCACAGGTGAGGCCATAGATGAGGCCATAAGTGAGTCTTCTGTGTACCTGATTTGAAAATACAAAGACGGGCAGAAGAGAAAGCTCAGCGGACTAAAGCACTTGCTACAGGACTAAAGCCCCCGAGGTAGGCTGAGGGGGCCAAAGTCTGGATCTGGTGGTGCACATCTGTGATCCCAGTGCTGGGGAAGCTGAAAGCAGGAGGATCACCACGAGATGGAGCTGCGTAGTGAGACCCTGCAACAACCAAATACATTAAGTGATAATAATAATAATAATAATAAAAGGTAAGTCAATAGTCTTATACTGGGGCTGGTGAGATGGCTTAGTGGTCTAAAGCACCTACTTAGAACAAGCTAAGCAAAGCACAGGGACCATGGTTCAATCCCCCAGCACCACATGCCAGCCAGCCCCACCCCCTGGTGGGCTGAGCTGGCCACACATACACATAATAAAATAAAATAAAAACACTTAAAAAAAAATAAATAGTCTTATACTGAGGAACCAGGACATCAGAAAATCCCAAAGTTAAAAAATAAATAAATAAAAATTTTTAAAAAAAAAGAAAAT